AAGAAGAATCCTAGGAATTTTCCCAGGAAAGGCTTAGGCTCTGGTCCCAAGATTCCACAGCAAGCCTCTAACCCAGGTCAGAGGTTACGGGAAATAACCAGAGATGTGTGTGGGAGGGTGACGGTGGGAACGCTCTTCCCTGGGCCAGGCGGGAAGAGCAGAGGCAGGATATACCTGTCTGGAGTCAGGAGGCCACCTGGCCACCAAAACATCTTTCTCCTCAGGGGCAACAAAGAAGACACAGCGGGGACCAGCCTTCGAGACACTTTCCTCCCTCTTCTGCAGACAGCCAGGGCTGTGGTTTAGTAACTGGGGATGGTTTCTCTCACACTTCTGTCAAAACCAGTTTTCCAGGAGCCACAAGCACAGTTACTGACCTCTGGGTCCACAGATGTGTTCTTGGGCTCTGTTGTGCGCCTGGCTAGGGAGTTAGTCCACGCCACCAGATGTTCATATTTTCCCGCTTAGCTCAGGGGCTCAATGGCAGCCCCCACTGAATGTCACTGCAAGGAGGCGGCCTTTATTGCACAGTGAATGAGTTCCCACCCTTGGAAAGGGAGATGTGAGCAGCAAAGGTGCCCCCTGGCTCCCTGCAGCCCCGGGCTGAATGCCAGTGCTGGGAAGAAGCAGAGATGCAGTCGGGCTTAGGACAGCACCACCGCATCCTCTGCGGTTTGCTCCCTTCACACCAGCACCAGGCAGGGTGTCAGCTCACACCCAGGTCCCACCGCCAGGTATGGTGAGTAGACTCAGGTCCTTGTCCACATCCTTTTAAGGACCCTAGGCTCCAGGTAGCCCAGCATAGGTGGTCCTTTGAGAGTAGCCAGTATTTATGACTTGAAATGGGTCTTTTTTCCTTCCTCCCTCATTCTGTCCCTTTAATGTGGCCCCCAGAATAAGGGCCAAGAACCACCATGAAGCTGCTAGTTCTGAGGAGGAGAAATCTAATTTGCCCCAAACGCTCCCAGGACAACTGAGGTACAGCCAATATGCTCCCTGCTCTGTCTTCACGTGAGACCTGAGGACGCAGCAAAGAAAGCCCCAGCTCGATCACAAGGCCACACCAACTAAATGTGGGAAGCATCCTTTCCCCAAGTGGAAGTATCTCCCACCTGCCTGCACAACTCCATATCTGGTTGTCTGACAAAATTTCTGCCTTGGGGGCTATACCTGGGGAACCCAAGACTCGAACTAGCAACACAGAAGTTGGAAGGCTGGGAGGCTGCAGGGGACACACAGAAGTCAGCCAGCCCTCAGGCCCTCTGCTCCATCATCCTGGGCCTGGCTTCTGGTGGCTGGACCCAAGCCACAGAGACAGAGGTGGAAGTTACTGCCCCAAATACACACCTCCACCTCACCCAGCCTAGGGCTCCAAACTCGGGGGACTCTACCCTATCACCCCAAGGGGTATTCAGGTGCCAGGGTTGGGTCTTGGGCTCACATGTAACAACAACCAGAGCCAGTGTCCTCATTCAACCACAGGTTGCCGTATTAACAAGACAAGGGGCATCAAGCACGCAGTGCCCATCCAAAGCTTTTGCAAAAGTGATGCCCTAGATCACCAACCTCCATCCATTCTCCCATCTCACTGGCACTGTGGCCAGTGTCCTTGCCACGTGCTCCATTCCTACCTTGGTCAGTCACTTATCATGTGCTTCCTGGGATCATCAATGCCTTCTCTCCAGCCTCTTTGCTCTGACCCTTTCCAATCAATACCCCAGGCAGACTAAAGTGAGCACCGCAGCATGGCAAGCTGCCCTTGAGGGAGGAGGGCAGAGCAGACCCTCCTCCCAGCTGAAGGGGGCAGAGATGCAGCTTTGCAGGTGTGCCCCCTCTGACTCTCAACACCACCAGGCACTGAAGCTGCACAGATGTCTCTTTCTCAGCTCTCATTCTTCCCTTGGAACAGTTCAGAAAGGAGGTTACTGGCCATTTTTACATGACAGGGAGCTACCACTCTGTGAAAGAGCCCCACCTGGATGAGACAGCTGCCTCCCACATCCCTTCCCACCAGCTCTTGCTCAGGGAGTGCAGAGGCACTCCCTGGATAGCCTGCTTCTTGAAGAAGTGTCAAGATTACAAGGGTGACAACGGAAGTGACAGATGGTGCTGAGGATAAGCAGAGATGGGCGGGAGGAATGCCAGGCGTGAGGCTGCCATGCTGCATGCTTCTTCCCTCGCCCCCTCATTTTTTCACTTTCCCTTGGCCCTAAAGGCTCCCTCACCAGAGAGTCTGAACCCTGCTGCACAAGATCCTGACAGGAGAAACACAAGATGGCCCTCAAGGGGCAGGAAGATGTAAAGCTCTGAGTCTGGGAGCCAGTAAGGAAGAGTCCCAGAGCAAGAGTGGACAGGAGTCTGGCTGTTCAGGGAAAGGCATTAGAAATTCCCCCAGAAAGCTGCCCCAGACATGTACATCCAGAGTCAATCCACAGCTGATCTTGGGATGGGTAGGCTACTGGGCCTCCGGTGTTTGCTGCATGTCCTGTGGGGAACAGGAACCCAGCACACACTGACCTCAAAGTACAGCTCATGTAGACTCATCTAAGCTCCAGACTGGGACAGTTTCCAAGGGCTCTGGGGATTGTCTGACCACCAAAGTGTGCGTGTGTGGCAGGGGGGTAGAGGGAATACCCCGCCACAGCTCCATCCAATCATACGTTTGTGACACTGCTTAACACCAAAGTCAACCCTGGGGCTGGTGAAACACCAAGCGTATCTCCAAACACACCATAGACTGCAATTAACCTTCCACAAACTCTTTGAAGAACATCAATTTGGTTGTGCCCATTTTATAAAAGATAAAAGAAGAAATGATTTTCCCAGGATGACAAGCCAGGAGGGGAGAATGGAGTTCAGACTCCTTAATTCAGGCCAAACTCCACCCAATGGTCTCCACCCAAATTCAACCCTGTCCAAGTGCTCCCAGGAAGCTGACAGCCCAGAGCGTGGAAGGCGTGGAGGGCGTGGAAAGCATCCATTGAGCCAGCTTAACCTGATGCAGTAACCAAGGCCCCTGTCCTCAGGTTCACACCTTTGCCTGAGGCAGGCCCCTCGCTGTCCTTGACCCACCATGGGGATACTACCTGAAATCCCTGAAATGAAGGGTCTTTCCAGCCTTCCTAGCAGTGGTGCTAAACCTCTCAGCTCATCCTCATAGGACAATCTCTGGACAATCTCTCATCATGCTGTGATGAGACCCCTTAGGGAGGGTGACATATAATGAAGCAAATGCCTTCTTTGCTACCTTCTTACACAGATGGCCAGTCTTCACATCCACATGGACACCGGGGATCCTGTGTCATTTATTATGTCCTCATCATGTGCCAGTCACTACTCTAGGTAGCACATTTGGCTTCTCTCACTAAATTCTCAAAATCACCATGAGAGAGGTAATATTTTTCTCCCATTATACAGATGAGAACACCGAAGGGTTAAACAACTCGTCCAAGGTCACATGGCCAACAAACAGTAGTCTGGGATTGCTATTAGGCAGTGTCTGATTCTGGTTTCTCTACATACCAGAGTACATAGAGACCATTCAAGATCAAGTGTAAGAGCAACCTCTGGCCTAGACAGACAAGAACCAGACATAACTTTCTGGTCAGCTGGACACAGAAAATGTACACAGACATTTACACAAAGATGCAGAAACACTCACAGGTCTCTTGGCCTCCAGCTAATCAGGAGTCTGTTTAGGATTCAGTCACTGTCCAGCTTGGGTACAGAAACTCCAATTTACAGTGCAGGGGTGAGGTGAACCTCTGATTCACAGTCCTGAATCTGCTCCTCCTGTATTTATACTCACTTTACTGACACACAGCCCCCTCCTTAAAGGAAATAAAACACCCCAATCTAAAATTATGAAACCAAGAGCTTCTGGTTCAGTTATACATAGTCCCAAAGTAGACCAACAAATGTATTTTCAGATTAAAGGGGAAATTTACATATATAAATTCAGATGTCAGTATTTATAGCATTGATTACATAAGTCCCGGCTCCTTTATTTAGCCCCAGAACCAATTCGTTATCGGTCACATAGTCAAAGTTTCCCCCTCCCCCCTAACAGCCCTGTGGCTCCCCTCCCCCTTCCCCCAGCCGACCAGGGCCTCACATTCTGGCAAGAGGACACAGCTTCCTTCACTGTCACAGCCCAGCCTCCCAGACACACCCAGATCCAGGCTCAGACACCAGGGGACAGGCAGACACAATCCCAAAAGGCCCTCCTCCCTGCCCTGGGTAAATTATAAAAACCTTTAAGAAGTTGGCTATTGGCTGGATCGGGTCCAGAGAGACCCCTGCCGGGACCATTAGAGACACGAGCCCTGCAGAAGGCACTCCCAGTCTGGGGCCCAAACAAACATTCACTGGGTTGAAACTGGAATCGTTCCAGTTCCTGGGGAATGGCTGCCTCAGACCAGACCACTGAGGCCAGACTGGCCTGGAACTGCACCCAGGATCCGGGTGCAAGGGTGTGCGTGAGGCTAGGGGGTAAGGAAAAGCAGATCCAAGGTCTTAGGACCCAAGTTTGCATCGGCCCTGAGCTTATCTGGGGCACTCCTTGGATTCCCAAGGCTTCTCCCTCACCGGTTGTGCCCATGCAACAGCACCTGCGCGGCTAGGAATCTGCCCAGCAGGGCAGCTATGCCGAGGGTGATGGGGGTCTGGAGTACCCCGATTCCCGCTCCGGGCCCCGCGTCTGCGCTCAGTCCTCGCACCTGGTGGGAGCTGGGCAAGTACATATTTGCTCCTGCCCGGGAAAGGGGTCTGCCTCGCCTTTGCCAAGGAGGCGACCTCACCAGCCGCCACACAAGGCGCCCCAGCCCAACGCCCCGGGACCCCGGGCTGGCGCTGCGAAGAGCCCGCGGCGGTGTCCCCAAGACCGCCGGGCGTCGCTGCCCCGCGGCGGGGCGCTGACAGCCGGGTTCGCGCCCCCAGCCAGCAGCAGGGGGCCCCTCCCCGCGCCGCCCGCGCGCGCCCCGGCCCAGCGGGGTCCTCACCGAGAAGCGCTCCAGGTCGGCGGCCGCCATGGCGAGCTCCGCACCGGCAGGCGGGCCGGGACGGGCGGCGGGGCCGCGACGGGGACGAGCCGGCTGCGGGACGCGCTCCGCCCGGGCGGCTGCGGCTGAATGGATCCAATATGGCCACTTCCTGGAAACTCCCCTTGGCGGCGGCGGCGGGAGAAGCCGCGGAGCCGCCCCCGCCCCCGCCCGCCCGCCCGCGGGACCGGCCTCCCCGCCCGGCCCCGCCACGAGCGCAGCCGGAGCGCAGCCGCCTGGCCCGCCGGGGGTCTCCGCGCGCAGCGGGAGGTGCCAGCTGCGGAGGCTGCTGGGACTTGTAGTCCCAGAATTGAGGGGGCGAGAGGGCAGTGCCCCAGGGGCCGGGGGGCAGAAGCCTGCAGGCCTGGGGTGTCCCAGGGCGGCCGGGGGCGAGCCCAGGTGAGGGTGTCCGGGGCCCGAGCCCCAGGAAGCTCGTCAGTGAGGGAGGGAATGCTGCGGGGTGCTGCTTGCGCACTGAAGTCTCCCCCCAACAAGCCGCCTTCACCCCGTCGGAGCCTGCAGACGCGCTGCAACCACCAGCCAGGCCAGAGCAGCGACGGTGCAGGCGGCCCGGCCGGTTCGGGAGAGGCCGCCTCAGCCTCCTGTGCCGATGCCCGGGGCCCCACCTGATGCTCGGGTCGGAGCCAGGGCGGGACCCGCGCGTCGGGCCGGGCTGCCTCGCTGGGCAGGAGACCAACCTTCAACTCCTTGCGCAACGAAAGCGCAGGATGCGCAGTTCAGGCCCGGGATTCTGCAATAGAAAAGGCGCGCTTGACAGTCCGAGCATCACATTGGATCCCCCAGCCTGCCCGCTAGGGCTTGGGGCGGCGTTTTAAAGATTTTTTTTTTTTTTTATTCATGCACACAAGAGCTGGGGTACAGGCCAGAGGTGCGGGAGGTGAGAGGATTCACCAGAGACAGAGTGGGGAGCAGAACAGGTAGATTGACTGAAACATACTGCTGAGGGGAGCAGTGGGCGAGACAGGAGAGGTTGTGGGTAGCTGCCTGGCCGGCTGGGAATTGAACTCCTGTTGTAGAGGCTGAGGACAGCTTCACAGTGCTGTGTCTGAACCCCTTGTGCCACCAGGGAGGTCCATGGGCTCTCTCTGCTTGGAGGGTGGGCTCTCTCTCCTTATCTCAAAAAGTGCTCCAAGCCCAGAGAAACAACTCTGCCCAAGCAGAAAAGCCTGAGGGGCTCTGGTCCTTTTCTCTGGCTATCCAGAGAAAATGCAGCTCCCCCCCCCCAAACACACACACACACACACACACACACTTTTCTTTCCCTCCCTTCTGCCTTTCTATCTGCTCTCTCTTTGGGAGTAAGACAAGGCTGCCTCCTGCTCCTCCACCAACCTCGTCCTGGTGGGCCCCCCACACACACCTATCTCCAATCCCAATATCTTCCTAAGAAACAGCCTCCCTCCTATTCAGAAACGTGAGCTGGCTGGAGGGGGCCCAAAGGCCATATCTGGAATTGGCATATGGCTTTAAGAGACACCCCCCCCTTCCTGCCCTTCCAGTAGCAGTTGATCTCACCCTGTTCTAGGGTCCCCTCCCTTTTCTTTTTTTTTAAGATTTATTTATTTATGCATACAAGAGTTGGGGGTGCAGGCCAGAGATAGGGGAGGAGGATTCACCAGGAGTAGCCGCCGAGACAGGAGAGATCTGCTGCGCCCCATAGGTCAGCTCCCTGGCCGGGGATTGAACTCGTGCTGCAGTAGCTGTGGCTAGCTTCCTGGTGCTGTGTCTTAACCCCTCACGCCACCAGAGAGGCCCCTTCCCCTCCCTTTTCTACCAGGCAAACTGCAGCTTCTCACTAAGGTGAACTCAAACACCACCTGCCGGACCTTTCTGACGCACTCTGCCCTCTGTATCATGGTGTTTTGTGTGCTGTATTATAATTATCTACAAGAAACAGGCAGAGCAGTGGTGAAGGGAACTGAATACAGCAAACCCACCAGGCTGGAACCCAGCCTCCGTCTGTTGCTGGCTTTTTAACCTTAGGTGACTGTAGCTAACTGTGCCTTCTATCCCGCATCCTAAAAATGAGAATATTTATAGCACTGATGGCATAAGATTAAACAAGATAAAATAAAGAGCATTAAAACTATCCTTGAAATAAAATGTTTAATAAAATCTCTCTCTAGACTATAAAGGTCTTAATGTCAGAGCCCAGAGAGAGTATGGTCAATTAATGTTGAATTGATCATCTTAGGCCCTATTTACTGTTTCTATTACTGTCAAGAAATCTTTCCCACCTGCTTTTTTCTACATCACAACCCTCTGGGATCTACCCTAAATTATCTTTAAAATGATCTTTCCCCCTTACAAAATATCTGTACTTCAAAATATCTACATTTAGCAGCTGGTGTCTGTGAGAAGAAAAGTCCAGATTATTGCTGACTACTAGTCTTTGGTATGTTCAATCTACGAGATTTTGCACCTACTGCCCAAATCCCAAATTTCTTTTTTAAATAAAAATTATGAACTCCACTGACTGTATAAGGAACACTTGAAAACACTGCCATAAGAAAAAACACCTTGGGGGGTCTCCCAGGTGGCGCAAGGGGTTAAGACACAGCACTATGAAGTTGTCCAGAGCCACTGCAGCATGAGTTCCATCCCCGGCCAGGGAGGTGACCCATATGGCACAGCAGACCTCTCCTACCTTGCCTGTTGCTCCCCTCAGCAGTGTATTTTAGTCTGTCTGCCTATTCTGCTCCCCATTCTGTCTCTGGTGAATCCTCTCACCCCCTGCACCTCTGACCTACACCCCAGCTCTTGTGTGCATAAATAAATAATAAATCTTTAAACAAATTTGCTTTGTATTTTCATATAAAACTTTTAAAATATTTTTCATCACATTTAGGCACGTCAGTGACTGGTTTATGAATTCAAGACAGTTGTTTCATATTTCCCCACTGATGTACAATGCAAATAGTATTAAAGATGAAGTTTCTGTATGTGTGTGGGTGTGTGGGCCAGTTAGGGTGAGGTTAATTTGCTTCAACAAGATAGAAGATTCTTTCTTCCTCATGTTATCCAGATAGGCAATCTAGGTGATAAATCGCTCAGCACACACCTTCTATGTTGCTTTGCTTTGAAAGACCTTGACCTCATGGTCCCATATGGTGATAATCTGCATTCCAGGCAGGAGGCGGGAATGAAGGCGATAAAGAGAAAATGAGCAAACATTCTTGAATCATTCCAGAAGCTGCCACATGGCATGTCTGCTGACATCCTGTTGGCCCGAGCTGGGAATGGGGTCTTTATTCTGGCCATCATGTATACAGCTAAGGATTCCACAGAATGTTAGGAGAGTAGATGTCAAAAGACAGCAGTCGTTTCTGTCAAGTCTGTTTCTGGGTTATTTATTCTGTTCCACAAGGAGATGCTTGAAATTATTTTCTGATATTTAAATTTTTTTTCACTTTATTACAAAAATTAAAATACAAAAATATGACGAGCAAAGCAATAATCAACTATAGACCATCATTCAAATTTAACCACAGGAATGATGTCATGGTCATTTCAACGCATATTTATAGATAAGAGGAAAGTTCATATAGAGATCATATAAGTCATATAAAGATTTTATAAAAACTGGATCATAATACAGCTGCTATTTTAATAAAAAGTATCACATTTTACTTGAATTTAAAAGTGAAACTGAAAAGTTGAACTTCAAATAATATTTCTGGATCACAAGAAATATTACTTCTGAAAAGATACATCTGAGGTTAAGCAAAAATCAAAAGAACATTAAAAGATTGGAGTCCTTTTTAAAAATTCACATTTTAATCATGTGTAAGTTCTTATGATTCTTTTCACCTGTCTCCTGGTTTTTGTTACTTATATTATCACTGTTACACTGTTCCAGTTTATGATAATCATATTCAGTTCTATGAAAACACAATTGCATCGTTGCTTGGTATATATTCTAGATTGAAATAATTCAACACTCATTCTTGTTCCTATCACCAAGCCTTCTCCATTTGCAAGATTTTGATTCAATTCATCTCTTAATGGACTGAATTTTATCATTAAGCTATTTTTTTCTTTTTTTAAAAAATTTTTTAAAAGATTTAATTATTTTTATACAAGAGCTGGGGTACAGGCCAGAGGCGCGGGAGAGTGAGAGAATTCACCAGAGACAGAGCAGGGAGCTGAATGGGCAGACTGACTGAAATACACTGCTGAGGGGAGCAGCGGGCATGAACGGAGTGGTCTGCAGTGCCATGTGGGTATCTCCCTGACCTCCGGGAATCCAACCTGCACTGCAGAGGCTGCGGACAGCTTCACGGCACTGCACTCAACCTGCTGTGCCATAGTGGAGGCCCCATTTAAGCTGGTTTTTTCAAGAAGGGTTTTGAATGTTTAAGAATGTCTGTCTGTTGCCTTTATACTGGAACCACCTCTTAGCTGGGTATAATATTCTTGGATCTCACCTTTTCCGTTGAATGTATTAGATTTTGCTTTGTTTCTTCTGGGAAGAAACCTGAGACCAGCCTGAATTTTCTCCCTAGCATAGCAGATGACATTCTTCTACCTGTTTGTAAGCAGTTCAAACACTTACCTTAAACAATAAATAAATAACTAAGACATGTCTTATTTTTCAATATCCTGAATCAAGCTTTCAGGAATATAATGCATCTTTCAATCTCCAGGTTTAGTTTTGGTTTTTCTGCATAAAAATATTCTCTTTTGGTTCTATTTTTTTCTCTCCTTTCAGGAATATCAAGTAATCCTTACATTGGGTCAGTTTTGTCTGTATTCAATTTCTAGTCATTCCAATTTCCTTCATCTCTTTACCTTGTTTAGCTGCCCCAATTCAGGAATTTGAGTTTCGGTGGGGTCAGTTCTATTCTTGTTGGTCCTGATTTATTCCTTTGTTTTATAACAAAGTTGGCTTTGTCCTCAATTTGTTTCCTTTCGTCACTTCTCTTGTTTAATCATCCCATCTCTGAGCCTCTGATTTATTAAATTCACATTCTTATTCAGTCATTTTAGAATGTGAAGCAGGTATAAGGAACTTCCTTTGTGGGGAACACACTTCCTTGTGCACTGTTTTCCTCCATTTACCAGCAATAATCTGCTGCCAGCTGTTTGCTTCTATTTCTTCTCATCTTGGTTTGGTGGCTCTGTCCAGAGCTTCTTTATGCTGCTGAATAAGATGGCAGGAATGGGGGGTTCATGAACCACCTCCCCCCTGTTTGAGGCCAGATTTTTT